TAAGCACTATCGGTGGATTAAATTTAACCAAAACATTCGACCGAAATTTTTCGCGACGAATGTATATTAATGAAACTGTCAATAGATTAATTGAAAAATTTGGACGGTCTTTATTGCGAGTCAAAGTCTTGAAAAACAGAAGAATGAGATACTGTAAGTCGTCTATTGTATAATAAATAATCATTGTAATTGTATAAAATTTTTTTATTTACCTCACTAGCTATCACTGCATGATCATAAATACAATAAACAGATATCAGTCAAAAATGATCTTTAATTAAGAGATAATAAACTAAAAAAATAACTGCACATTACATGCTACACCAGGTTTAAAGGGTGCCACCTTGCTGTGATATCGACTAATCCCTTCCGGAAACATGCAAATACAATCCCCTTGTTCCAAACTCTATTATACAAAGACCAAATTTTAATTTTAGTATTCAAACTAGCTCATCAAATCATGAGTTACATAATTCAGAAATACCTCTATTAACTTTCTAATGATTCCGAATTATCGACTTTAGAATAATTATAATCCTTATATGGTTAGATTCAGAAGTTCTGTAATTAGTATTAGCATAAATAAATAAATTTAATTGTGATAAAAAACGAAATTTAAGTACTGTACCTTAGTTCGTTTAATGGGCACCGTGCCTAAACTTCTGATTAGTATACTGTAACGCATAACGAATAAATAATTATTTGTTGATAATTACTGTATGGTTCATCGACAAAATATGACAATATATAATATACATAAATATAAATATATATTTTTATTTACCTAAACATATCCGTCCTATGCCAAAATGTATCTTTGGCAGTCATTCGAATCTGAATTATTTTTTTAATAATTATTTTACGAGAATTTAAGTCTTAATTCATTAACATTGCTATAAAAGTTCAATATCACTATAAACAATTACCATATCTCGTTTATCTTTTGGTATAGCGGCCAAAAGACAAATAGGATCTGTCAAGGAATTTGCATGATTTGGGCAGAGAATAGTCGAACATCCATCTGGAGGGATATATTCTAGTCCTTCTACTTCAATTGCATAAAATGCATTTGCCAAAACTTTAAATAAAAATCTCACAAAGCGATAAGCTAAGGGTGCCATTTTAAATAAGTAACATTAGAGATTCTATCGCAGAAATTAAAATCAAAATTAATAGTGTGTTCATGTAAAAAAAAAATACTGTGTTAATATTAAAAGATCGTAATACAGTAATAATTTACGATGCATGAAAATACAAATAATGATGCACAAAATTTGGGGACAAGGTTAAAAAAAGAAGCGATGTACAAAAAATGTGTTGAATAACATCATAGTTTGAGTGGATCATTATGTCACAATGCTGACAGATTTTATTTGCTTACGTATCTAAATTATGTACTAGCATTCTATCCAGATTGATGAATATGGATATAGTCATTGGTTCATAAGCCTTGATTGTATATTATTTTGCTGGCGAAAGTAAAAGTGTAACGATTTACATATCGGTCATGGATTATGTCTATGTCCATTAGCCCCCAATAATACAAAATTTATTTGAATAATATCTCTACAAAGTATTATTGACATTGTCAATTGAACTAAATAAAGACGTAGCATAGGTTAGACTTTTATCAATTATTTACTTTATTTTTTTCTACAGCCGTCACAATATTAAAGAAACTTCGATGAAAGTACACATGACTTATCACATGATAATGTCACATGTTGTTCGGATAGTTTAATGGTATGGATTAGGGTGTCCAGGATTATGCGATGCGATAGGGCAAATTATGCCTGCGATTTGGGGTTAATTATGCGGTGGATGCGAAATAAATTTAAAATTATGCGAAGAAAATAGGCGATTATGCGATTTTTATAGTACCGAA